TACAACGTAAATATTTGAAACATTTTTTAATTCAAATAAATATACGTTAATTACGCTAGCATTCCTTTTAATTGTTTATCTAAACGAGTATTTTCCCATTGAATATTTTTTTGTCAATATATCATTTTCCAATAAATCAGAAATTTCGGAGCAAAAAATATCCTTTATATTGAGCTGAAGCTACAGTTGAAGTATCAACATTCAATCTTAATTTCTCACTTGTCCAAAAATCATTACCAACTGAAAAAAACTCAATTTCTGCATTAGTTTCAGGTCAGCATAACTTAAATTCAACAAGAATAACTAAATTATCATATGGAAAGTTTTCATTTTTGAAATGGTTAAGTATTTCCACCCATCTTTTATCAATTTCAGCATGCTGATTTACCAATTGTTTCAATTTATTAGAATTTAAATATACATTCACTCGTCTAATTTATTCAAACAGACAATTGTCATTGATTTTAATATCAGGTATTTCTTTCAATAAAAACTCAACACAATTTTCTATACCTGCCCAATTTACTTGCGATGAAGTCAAAAAACACCATTGAGAACTATTATTTCCTGTAATATTTATTTCAGACCATTTTTAGACATATTGAAAACGGGTTTGTTTCATCTCTGAATACAGAAATTAACAGATCAGTTTTTTAAAAATATTGAAAAGGAAGACACTTTTCGAGGAAGGACAGAACCTATAAAAGGAGGACGGTTGATCACCTTACTATTACGGAAGATCGATTTTTTTTTTTTCAGAATTTCAAAACCTACCTATGCGGAAAAAAAGTTCTCTAGTGTTAAATAATAGTATAGTAGTTCTCTAATATATCTAGAATAAAAAAATTTGATTCTAAAATCATCCAACTAAAATTAAAATTTTTTCAGTTTTTTTTTTCTCGGGGAAATTTAAACCCTTTACTTAATAAATTAAATCTGGGTTAGACCCAGATACTAATTTTCGAATAATATTTTTAAATGATTTTATTCCTCATCTCTATATTTTAGAACATTATTAAACAGTGGTACGTTTCGATTAACAAAAATAATTTTCTCCACAGCAGATGCGATCTACTTTAATACCTATATTTTACAGATACCAATACCTGCATTTAAGTACTTATACCTACATATTTTTTAAGAGGTTTTGAAAAATTAATTCTACTTCATTATATAATATATATCTTTCTTCGGCTTGAAAACTAAGCGTTTAACGAGTATTCATACATGTGAAAAAAATAAATAAAACAGTAAATAAAGACAACTACTGAATGGGGTTAACTAGTAATACATTTAGTATAATATGAAGGAAATGATTTTATTTACAATGATATAAAAGGTTAAAGGAATCTTGGTAAACAGATATAATGCATACATAGAGAGCGGACATCAATGGTTGACTACTGGCAGGGAAAAATGTAAACATAACACAATAAACGTTACATCAAAAGTTGAGTAGTTTTTATCATACTCCGTAGTGCGAATATTGTTTGTAGTATGTCGCCACACAAATACATATTGCTACGTTCTACAAGTATACTAATTATGCATAGTACACATTTTTTCAACATGTACGTAATTATGCGTACATATGTATTACAAACAATAGGCTAATTTCATGTGTCGTCATAACCTCGTAAAAAGGCAATCATATTTTTCCAGCCAAACAGTTCTAGCGCTTCACCGTTACCAATTTTTGCTTTTTGCAGAAACTTTCTTTTAAAAAGTGCATACTTGTCAATAATAATGCACGTAGCTAAAGAAACTGTACTTTATTTAAGGGTACGCATATAAAATAAGATATTTTATAAAACATTACATACGACTTCAGACTTACCGTTAGTTTTTTAGAAAAGAGGTCGCCCATAAATATAGAAGAACATGTACAGTAAATAAATTGTTATCCATTTATTGCTGCAATTATATTGTAAGAGATATCAACGCGTACAATTTCCGTTTTAAAATATTACAATTACAATAAATACATCCAGCTTAGCATAAAGTTTCTAAACATCAAAGCCCCATAGAACGTAAATGAGTACAATTCTTTTCGAATCAACATTCCAAACAGTAGAATCATTGATTTGTTTTATAGAATTCCAAGACAAGCATTCCCTTCGAAAGAAGGATTTCTTTTGATATCTCTCGAAAAAAGAATGAGTCTGAAGACGACCATTCCAGGGCCAGATGCATTTGCATAATCAGATACTTCGTTCGCTGATTTTGTGAAAGTTTCTTTCGAAGTTAATCTTTTTCCATCGCCCGTGTTTGTATCGTTCCTTTTTGAAGTGGAGATCTTTCACTTGGATGGACTTCTTCTGTAGAATGCTTCTGTTTTGAATAAAACTTTCTCGAGGGCTGTTGTAGTTTTCTGTCCTAGATACTTTCCATCTCAGAAAAATCAAATAGATGTGGAGCATTATTCACCGTATCGAGAAAGAATTGCGTTGATGTTTTGGAACGACTAAATGCATTTAAAAATTTTCAGTCCTACTTACAAAATCATTTAAATCACACTTCGAAATTATAATGTTCAATAAAATAAGACTATTTTTGTTAAGAAAAAAAAAATACGATAGATATTTAAGTGCAGGGTGTTTCTGAATGAATATCGGAGTTTTAACGTATTATATTATGTAATACTTATAAGTATAATTCATACATCGAACGAAGAGGAACTGAAATGGTTTTGTTTGCAAGCTCGGGTGAGCATGCGCACTAAACCTGTGATAATTTTTTCCTCTTCCTCGCCGATCAGAATTCTAGTAGGAAAATGGCGATTACTGAACAGAAAGCGTTTTGTGTTTTCCAGTTTGCAAAGACTGAATCTGCTATTACTGCGCAGCGAGCATTTCGTATTAAGTTCGGTTGTCAACAATGAGGCTCACCTAAATGGAATGTCTTTTGTGCCATATCTCGGCGGAAAGTGTATGGGTCTTTCGTTTACTGAAAACCAACCAACTTCGGAGCCTATCTTGATACTCTACAATTATGACTATTTCCTTGATTGGAAGAAAGTGAACCAGAGATAACTTATTTTGGTAGCAAAATGATACACCATCTCATTGGTATCTCTCAGTGCACGATTGGTTGAACATCACTGTACCCGACCAAAGGAATGGCTGCAAAGGTCGTCACGATAAAGCTTGTTTCACATGACCTCCACATACACTATAACTGAGACAATGTGATTTTTACCTGCAGGGGTTCATTAAGGATTGTGTGTACGAACCTCCACTACCAGCTGACCTTCCAGATTGAATCAGCTTTGCAAGATTTACCTTAGACACACTAAACAAACTTTGGGAAGAACTCGCCTATAAACTTGATGTGTGTCGTGTGACGAATGGGGCTCACATCGAATATTAGTAAGCTTGTATGTAAAACTGTTTCAGTTACTCTTTCATTCGATGTATGGATTATACTTGTAAGTTACATGTAATAAATACTAAAAAGCGTTAAAAATCCGATATTGATTTAAAAACACCATGTATGTCATTTTAAAAAAAAGCCTCTTGTACCCCTGAGTTCCTAATAGGGAAGGAGTATTTTCCCCCATGTTCATGAAACTCTAGGAACATTTTTGAATCTTACTATGAATATAAAAAAAATTTATAGGCTTATCAAATGCCTAACAATTAACCATCAGGTCACTAGGCAACAAGCTCTCTAATACCTTTTTGCAATATAGTCTAAGTTCTTAATGCACGCGTCCAAATAAGCAGTGCCCATGATTTGTCCAGAATTACATAAAATATGCAAAGGAGATACAGTCAAATGAAAACAAAACAATTGATCACAAAGGCAGTCATGTCCAGTCAATAGTCTAAGCGCAGTCACAGCGGTAGCACAAGGGGAATCCGAGACACATCCAGCTT